GGCATAGAGATAGAGAGGAAAGGGGAGGGAGGCAGGCTGAGTTGGGGAAGCCGAGGACGCGTCTCGGCAGCCTCTGAGAGCCGCCTGGGGCACTGTGGCCGAGAGGTCCGCCCGAGGCCCCTCCCGGAGGCCGCCTTGGGCCGTCTGGGCGCCCTCGGGCTCGGGGGCCACCCGGGCCGACTTTGCCTGCCTGCTGGGCCGTCCTGGGCCTTTCGGAAGCTCTCTCCCTCTCCCTCTCCCTCTCTCTCTCTCTCTGGCTCCTCCTCCTCCTCCTCCTCCTCCTCCTCCTCCTGCTCCTTCTCCTCCTCCTCCTCCTCCTCCTCCTCCTCCTCCTCCTCCTCCTCCTCCTCCTCCTGCTCCTGCTCCTGCTCCTTCTCCTCCTCCTCCTCCTCCTCCTCCTCCTCCTCCTCCTCCTCCTCCTCCTCCTCCTCGTCCTCCCTCTCTCTCTGGTAAGGCATCGGGTGGCGCACGGACAGCCCCCCCAGGTGGTCCCGTCGGGCCTCCACGGGCTCCCCGAGTAGTCCTGGCTGGCCCCGGCAGGCCTCCGGAGCAGTCTGGGGCGGTCTCAGCACCCTGGCGCCGCCTCCGGCGGCGCCCCTGGGACGCTTTGCGCCCCAGGGTCGGGATGTTGAGACCGCCCCGGACTTGCTCAGAGGGCCTCTTGAAGCCAGCCAGGGCTACTCGGGGGGATTGTCGAGGCCGGCCGGGACTATCTGGGGGCGCTGTCCGTGCGCAACCCGAAGCCTCACTGTCTCTCTCTCTCTCTCTCTCTTTCGTTCTTGCTCTCTCTCTCTCTCTCTATCTCTTTCTCCCTCTTTCTCTCGCCCTCTACCTCCCTCTCTCTCTCTCTCTCTAGCTGTCTCTCTCTCTCTCTCTCTTTATTGGGGCCATCTCGTGGCAGTCGTGGGGGCCGCTGTAGGAAGCGCTTCGCGGGGGGGGTCGGACGGGGTCAGGACGAAGAAAAATCCGTTCCAGAGCATTCCGGGAAACTCTCAGAGCGTTCCGGACCGCCCGCTCTGAGAAGGCCACGGCGCCCGAGACATCTTCCAGAACCGCTGGATCTCAGAGGTTCTCGATTTATCCTCACTCGATGTTGCCCTCGTTCTGGCTTCGTCTCAGGGGGGGCGCAGTGGCCAGCGGACAGAGCAGGCGAGCGATGAGGGAGGCGGAAAGCGCAGGGGGGGTTCTGTTGCTGGGCAGAGGCAGGAGAGGCGCGGGCTTCGTCGGGCGCTCTCGCGGCGAAGGAGGAGGAGGAGGCGGCGGAGGAGGCGGAGGAGGTGGAGGAGGAGGGCGAGGACGCGGACGAGGAGGAGGAGGAGGAAGAAGAAAAAGAAGAGGAGGAGGAGGAGGAGGAGGAGGCGAGGGGCCCAGCGGACCAGCATCGGGTGCAGCCCCGCGGGCGCACAAGGGGGCCCGTGGCTGGGCCGGCGAGAGCGCCCCCCCCCCGCTCTGCCCAGTGGCTGCCCCCCCCCCACGTGCCCCCCGTCGCTCGGGGCCCCTCTCCTCCTCCCTCCTCCTCTCCCTCCTCCCTCCTCCCCTCCCTCCCTCCTCCAGTTGACCAGGACCAGGAGTCCGAGGGGGCTGCCCCCCCCCCCCCCCCCCCGACACGCCTCGCAGCGCTCCGCAGGAGGCGGCGGCGGCCGCCACCGCGGGGCTGGAGGCGACCGAGAGGGCGGCGGAGGCGGCCGTGGCAGAGCGTCCGGCGTGTCCGGGCGCGGGCGCGCAGAGCCTGGAGGCCTCCGCCGAGCAGGAGGGGCTCCTCCTCCGCCCCCTTCTGGGGCTCCTTCGACCGCCAGCTGAGGGATGAGCGACGCGTCAAACAAACAAAAATCACTGTGTCGTCTGCGCCGACAGTCGCGCATAGAGTTTGCCCGCGAAGTGTCGCGCGTAGGCGCCCTCGTCTCCCTTGTGGCGTGCCGCGCCGGCGGCCCGCGCAAGCCACCGTGTGCAGGTCGCCGCGGCACCTCGCGCAAGGGCCCCTTTTTGGAGTGTCGTGCTCAGCTCGGGGGGCCGCGCCCGCTCGTCGGGCCGCACCGTGCGTCCTGCGCGCTCGTGACAGTTGAACGCTCCGCCTGTGTCGACTAGACGTTGAACTCTGCCACGTCTGAGAGCTCTTCCCCCCTCCACCCGCTCGGCCGCCCCTGTGTTTGTTTCCTCTCTCTCTCTCTCTCTCGCATGCCAGACACTTCGCCTTTCGGTCTGTTCCGAAGAGCCACGCGCTGGAGCGAGTTGCCTCTGCCTCGCCGCCGACGGAAAGAGTGTCGGCTAGACGTTAGAGTGGCTCTTCACCAGAGTGACCTTTGATGCGGGACCACTGGGAATCCCCGATCGCCGTATGCGATGCGATGGGTGCGTCTTGCGCTCTTGGGTTACTTGGGTTTAGCCCCCCCCCCCCCGCGGCTCCCCGAAAGCCGCGCACAAAAAGGTCACTCTTGCCTGGGGTCACTCTCGTGTGTGATCGACTGTGGCAATGACGCGCGCCCTCTTTTTGTGGCAGCTGCGCCCGCCGGTCACCGCAGCCTCCCGTCATCGGGAGCGGGCCCCAGAAGAAGGCGGCCCATCGCCTTGGTGACTTCATTCAGGAGGGAAAGAAACACACAGACACAATTAATCGTCGATTCCCCAGAAAATATGGGACAATATGGGAAGTGGGGGGGAAGACAAAAACCCAGAAAATATAGGGAAATATGGGGATCTTGTTCATTTGTGTGTATTCATTTGTGTGTTTGTGGGCCCCTTCATTCATGCACCTCCGGAGAGGCTGCTGACTTCCCCCTCGCCCCCCCTTCCTCCGGGTAAGAAAGGTACAGTCAATCAGCATTGTAAGGAGGGGCCATTTTCCCAATGCTGTGCATCCTCGCCTCCTCGGTCCATCCTTGGCCGCTTTCGTTGGCCGCGCCCCGCTCGCAAAGTGTCAAGGCCCTTGCATCCTTATCGTGCATCCTTATGATACGGGTTGACTGCACGCGCGCCCTGCTTTGGCGGCGGTTGCGCAAGCCTGCCGCCGCAACCTCCCATAACCAGGAGCGGGCCCCAGAAGAAGGCGGCCCATCACCTTGCTGGCCTTCAGTCGGGCACGTCCCTATACAGGGGGAAGATTCAAGAATGGGAGAAAAATTGTCTGGAAACGATTTTTCTGATGTGTTTTGTCATGGGTGTTTCCCAAAGCTCGCCTGTAGGGGGACATGCCCGACCTAGTGCTAGCCTCACCTCTGGAGAGGCTGCTGACTTCCCTCTCGCCCCCCCTCCCCCCCGGTCAGAATGGCAGTTCTCGGGTTGGGAAGATGGGGCTGGGAGAAATCATCAGATCATCTAAGTTATACTGCCGCGTGTACTGAAGGTGCTTACTACACAGTCGCGCACTGTATCTTCCCAACCCCTTCCTCCCAACCCAGACCCCCGACGTCGTGATTCTTTCACAACGTCGACCCCAGAGGCCTGGACCCCTTCTCCGGGACAGGATTTTCATCATGAGTCGTTCTCTGACGGCCCCGAGGTTTGGTGAGAGAGCCCTTTGGAAGCCAAAAATAGCGAAAAACCTCCCGTCGCGATTTGTTTCACGGCGCCAGGGGGTTTGGGAGCATGAGAACTGTTCTTCTCACCCGAGAAGGAGGACCGCTCGGAGGAGGAGGAGGAGGAGGAGAAGGAGGAGGAGGAGGAGGAGGAGGAGGAGGAGAGCGCCCCGGGGCGCTCGCAAAAAGCGTCCCGGCTCGCTCCGAGAGGGCCTTGTTGCCCGAGACATCTTCACCCGATGTTATCATCGTCCTAGCTTTGGTCTGGGCGTGGGCGCAGTGGCCAGCAGACAGATCTGCACGAGCGAAAGGGGCACGGCAAGAGTGGGTACAGTGCCCAACAGCGGATCTGGCTCATTTTGAACAGGACTCGCTGTCCACGCCGCCGCGGCCTGTGTCCATTCGAGACAGAAGGCCGCCTGCCCAACAGCAGCCGCTGTGGGTCCCAAACCAACAGCGGCTGCTGTTGGGCAGGCGGCCTTCTGTCTCGAATGGACACAGGCCGCGGCGGCGTGGACAGCGAGTCCTGTTCAAAATGAACCAGATCCGCTGTTGGGCATTGTACCCATTCTTTCTGTACCCATTTCGGGCGTCCAAACCTCTGGTGCACCTGGTGCTTTTCGATTCAAATGCTCCTCGCCCCGGCTCGCACCTTGTTGTTTACGAGCGGCAATGTTGAGCCTCAGATTGGGTATTGGCCTCCAGCTTACAACAACAACAACAACAACAACAGCAACAGCAACAGCAACAGCAACAGCAACAGCACCAGCAACAACAGCAACAGCAACAGCAACAGCAACAGCAACACTAACAATATCACTAACAACAACCACCACAACAACAACAACAGCAACAGCAACAGCAACAACAACAGCAATCATTTAAGACTGGGGACACTCCGTTCTCACCAGTGCCAGGGTTTTCATAGGAGGCGGGCAATACCCCCACTTTGTGGGGGGGCCGGTTCAAGCTCTACCAAATTTCCAAACGACTCTTCGCCACCACCCACACCCAGCTTCCCGCCCTATGACGTTCGGACACTTCACTTCGTGGCATGCGGACGACCGTGGCTACTATTCAGGGCCCCGCGGCCGACGACGACGGCGTGCGCGCGCGAAGAAAAAACGAATGTGTCCCGCATGGTATTATTTGACAGGGATGATGGCCCTGGCAGGTGCGCAACCGTTGTCGCAGAAGTTCGAAAAAGTTGCTCGCAAAAGCCCGTTTGACAGAAATGTTTAAAAAGTGTTGGGTTTCCTACGAATCCGCAAGAGCGCGCGGGATGAGATTTTGACATTTTTTTGTTGAAAAACCATTGGTTTTTTTGATGTTTTTATGTTAAAATCGCTCCGAACACTAAGCTTTTGGAAGGATTTCGTCTTGCGCGCGCGAATGTCCACTTTACCTTATTTTTTGCAAGGGATTCTTGAAATTTGATTATATTAGAACAAGAAATGTCATTTTATAGTGTTTTTTGCAAGGGAAAACGGATTACAACAAAACAACCGGATCTGGATCACATCGTTTTACCTGAGGCTTCCTCACGAAAATGATGAAAATGTGGCTGCGGCCTAGGCGCGGCGAGGGGGGCGTGCACCAGGGGGCCCAACAATAATTATTCTTTAGAATAAATAATGTTCAACAACAACGACGACGACGACGACGACGACGGCGGCGACGACGACAACAACCACGACGACGACGACGACGACGACGACGACGACGACGACGACAACAGAGCAGGCGAGCGCTGAGGGAGGCGGAGCGCGCAAGGGGGGGTCTGATGCACGCTCGCGGCCGCCGTTGCAGAGGCAGGAGGGGCGCGGGCCTCGGCGGGGGAAGGGGAGGAGGAGGAGGAGGAGGAGGAGGAGGAGGAGGTAAGGAGGATGAGGAGGAGGACGAGGATGAGGAGGAGAAGGAGGAGGAGGAGGAGGAGGAGGTAAGGAGGATGAGGAGGAGGACGAGGATGAGGAGGAGAAGGAGGAGGGAGGAGGAGGAGGCGAGGAGGAGAGGAGGAGAAGGAGGAGGAGGAGGACGAGGAGGTAAGGAGGAGGAGGACGAGGAGGAGGAGGAGGAGGAGGACCAGTGTAAACCCAAGGGTCATCAACGATGTGGGAATACACCCTACCTCCAAGCTCCCTCGTACAACGGTTCGTTTCCATTGAGGGAACTGCCTCGTTGGAACACAGCCGTTTGAAAACCCTGAAGCATGCCAAAACACTGTTCTCGGGATTCCAACGCCACGGATCAACCTGACTTTTGCTTTTTGAGGATCTTGAATCGTGCCAGAAAGCCATTCCGAGGACTTCAACACAAAGAACGAACGTAACTGTTGCACCCGCATAATCCTGAATCCGTCCAAAACGCCATGTCTGGTACGTTGATGAAGAGAATCAGTGAAACTCTTGCAACTTGTTCAAACGAATATGTGCCGTGCTCAGGCGAGAGTCACATATTAAGAAGGACCCGCCCTGAATCCAGGAAAGTTCTGCAACTGTTCAACACGAATGTGCGCCGCGCTAAGACGAGAGCCACATGTTTGAAAGGACCCGCCCTCAATCCGTGAAGCTCTTGCAAATGTTTCAAACGAACGTGCGCCGCGCTAAGGCGAGAGCCACATGTTGAAAACGACCCGCCCTCCATCTGCGAAGTTGTCGCGAATTTGGAAGGTTCAGAGTCATAAATGGTGAGGAAGTCTCAGGCGAAACGCCCGGCCCGCCCTAAAAACGGGCTTCGGGGTGCGACAGGGAGAAGTTATTCATAAGGAAAGGAATGGAGGAGGAGGAGGAGGAGGAGGAGGAGGAGGAGGAGGAGGAGGAGGGTCAGGAGGAGGAGGAGGAGGAGGCAACAGGAATGGACCGACAGGATTTGGCCCGCGGCGCCGCGGCGCCGGGCGAGCCAGCGGAGGGGGCCGCCCCCGCGGAGGAGCGCAGCGCGGGCCGCGGCCTGGAGCGCACGGCCTCCCCGCGGCGGTGCCCTGGCGGGCAGGATCGGACGGGGTCAGGACGAGGACAGATCCGTTCCAGAGCGTCCCGGGACGCTCTCGGAGCGTTATGGGCCGTCCGCTCTGTCTGAGAGCGGGACGACCAAAACGGGCACGGAGAGTATGGGCACGATGCCTAACAGCAGATCCTGTTCATCTTTCACCGGACTCGCTGTCCGCGCCGCCGCGGACGTCGTTCACTGAAGACAGGCAGCCGCCTGCCCGACAGCGGCCCGCGTCGGTTTGGGGCAGCATGTGTTGTTGTTGTTGGGCAGTGTGCCCCTTCCTTCCGTACCAATTCCGGGCGCCCAGACGAGAAGGCCGCGGGCGCCCGAGACCGGGCCGATCGGAGCCGCCCGACAGCGGCCCCCGTACCAATTTCGGGCGCCCAGATGAGAAGGCCGCGGCGCCCGCCGTCCCGCCGCTCTGCCGTCCGCTGCGTCTCGCTGCGTCGCGCCAGGCCTCCCGCTCGACGGATCCACACTGCAGTGGGGGCGCGCCTCAGGAAACCCTACGCCTTTCGCCAGGGTATCCTGGGTTTCTTTGCTCCTCGCGCGGCGCGCCGACTCCCCCCGCGTCCGGAGCCCTTCGGATCGCAGAGCTGCTCGCTGCAGCCGCGCCCGCAGTCGTCCCCTCGCCCTCTGGCCTCGTCGTCGTCCTGCCGCAGGAGCGCGGCGTGCGGGGCGCGGCGCCCACGGGCGCCCGGCCCGCCCTCGGAGGGCACGGCGTCGAGGCGACGAAGCGCGGCGGCGCGGCGACGAGGCGGCGGGGCGGCCCGGCGACGAAGCGCGGCGACGAGGATGTCCTCCTCCTCCTCCTCCTCGTCCTCCTCCTCCTCCTCCTCCTCCTCCTCCTGCTCCTCCTCCTCCTCCTCCTCCTCCTCCTCCTCCTCCTCCTCCTCATCCTCATCCTCCTCCTCCTCCGTCTCGTGACCTCCTCCGCGGGGTGTTGCGCAATGGGGGGGGGCGGCGGTAGGTCGGGAGCGGAAAAATTTCGGGTCGGGCGAAAGGGGGGGATATTGGGAAAGGGGGGGTCACGAAATCTGCTGCATGCAGCCGGTTTCGGCCTCACCGAGGAGCCCATTCCTCGACACATGGCCGCCTCCGGCGCCGGGAGGCGCCAGGAAAATCAGCTACGTGAGCTGATTCTCAAACCCCCCCTTTGCTATCCCCCCCTTTCGCCCGGCCCGAGAAAAGAGGGGGGTGATGACCAGGGGGGGGGTGGATTTCATGGCGCGGGCCACGATTTGTCCTCCGATTTCACGGCGCCTCTTCTTGTTCCATTGCGTCCCCGGCCCCCCCCCCCCCGCTGGGCCGCGCACGTGCCGTCGGTCATGATTTGCACCCGCCCTCTTGGACACCCCCCTCTTGGCCGCTCCCGAGTAAGTCGGGGGGGGGCAGGAAGAGAAAGGTGTACCCCTCGTGCGCATTCTTAGGGGCCCTGAGGGGCCCTCTGGGACCCGAAGGGGGTGTGGAAGGCGCACGTGTGTTCGCCCCCCCAGTGAGCCTCAAGAAGCACAAATTATGGACCCCCCCTGCGGTGATCAAGAGCACCAAAAACCTAGTGAATTCCCAGGGGGGGTACCACAGAAAAAAAACATGTGTATATATATATATATATATATATAGATGTGTGTGTATTCCCCCGGCGACCCCCCCCCGGCCGGGGTCATCGGTAGCGCCTACAAACTTCATCAATTCTTGGGGGGGTGCCACCGAACTCTGACCTTCCACAGTGCTTAAAAAAATGCCCCTCCAGATCGATCTGGACTGCTTGCAACCTCGACTGGAATTCGGACGTCGGCGCCCTGGTGCTATCTCAGGAGCGAAAGAAGGACGTACATGTACACGAATCCACGCTGGTTTCGAGAGCACGCATTGCACAAATGTTCGTATCACGCGGCCGGTCTCGCGAATTGAGGGGCCGCGTTCATGTACATAGCTGGGCGCGTACGTCCTTTGTGGGCTCCCTACTATCTCCTAGCCCTCGTGGAAGGTGAGGGAAAGAGCCCCCCGGCGAGAGCGCAACCCTACGAGAAGCCACGCCCAGGAGCAGGAGCAGCAGCGCGAGGCCGCCGGCGCGGGGGAGGCGCCGGTGGGGCGGCGGCCGGAGGAGCCGGGCCCCGCGGGGGCACGGAGCCGGGAGCCCAGCCCGGAGGGCCCGGCCCCGCTGCTGGGCAGCCTGGTGCTCTATTCTCGACTAGACGTAAGAGTGACCTTTCGCCGGATCGGGCGAAGAGAACTATACACATGCACCGATCCTGGCAAGGCCCATTTTTGACCCAGGATCGGTGCATATGCCTTCCTGGCCAAGGTAGGAGGGCGTATGCACCGATCCTGGGCTCAGGATGGGCCTGGCCAGAATCGGTGCATGTGCATAGTTCTTTTCCCTCTACCGGAGTGACCCGAAATGGGGTCCCCCGATCGCCGCGCTCGTTGCGATATTAGCGTCTTGCGCGCTTGTGTTTGGCCTCCTCGGGCCCCCTACGAAGCCGCGCACCAAAGGTCACTCTTACCCAGGGTGTCACTCTTACGTGCAGCCGATATTCGGGGGTGGACAGACCTCCTACCCTGGCACGTCGATTGAGGGATTGGCCGTTTTCGGTTCGCGAGGGGGCGTCGCGGCCGTCATGTTTGCGGGTCCAGGTCCGTGGGTTTCGGTCCCAGGCCGGTTTCACTGAGGGGAAGTTTACTAAAGGGAGGTGTGTCCACCGCCGATCTATAGGCCTCCCAGATGGGGTCCGAGCAGACGGGATCGGAGGATCGCGCCGCATCGCCGATGCATCGACGATGCGGCTCGATGTGGAGCCCGTGTTTCCCCACGTCGACGTCCCCCACGCATCGCCGATGCATCGTCGATGCATCGCTGGTGCATCGCCGATGCATCGTCGCTGCATCGGCGATGCGGCGCGATCCTGCGACCCGATCTACTCGGACCCCATCTAGGAGGCCTCCAGGTGCGCAGGAAGAAGAAGCGGGGGGGCCGCCTGGCCATGAGGCTCCGAGGAGGAGAAGCCCAGACCTCCCCGCGCTGTGAGACAAACCACACCGGGAGGTTTTTCCTTATTTTCGGCCTCTGGGGGCCCTCACCGGGCCTCGGGACCGTCAAAAGACGACTCGGGCCAGGGGTTCAGACCCATGGGGGTCGAGGTTGGGAAAAATCGCGATGTCGGGGGTCTGGGATCAAGGGAGACAAACGCCATAAACATAAACTGCTGGCGCTCCGCACGGATTTCTTGGATACGCGCTGGGCCCCCCGGCGGCGCCTACGGCGCCGCCACCGTCGCGCGAAGCGCGCCAGGGAGGGGGGTCCAGCACAGATCCAAGAAATCCGCCCGGCGCGCCAAAAAGTTAATGCTTTTGGCGTTTCTCATTCTTCTAGAGAAGGTACCCGCACCGCTGCCCTGGCCTCATGTTCGCCGTCGGGCCTCCGGGGAGAGCTCGCGTTGCCACGACCGCGGATTGGCCTCGAAGTCTTGGTCCGAGCGCCCCCTTGGGAGCGTTCCGGGGAGCCGCGGTATACCGGTGCCTCCCGGTGCCACGAGGCGGCTGGAGGAGGCCAACGCGGAGGCCGAGGCCAGCATGGCAGAGGCGGCCGCGCGGCGGGCCGAGGAGGCCGCGAGGGAGAAGGCCGCGGGGGCGCCCGCGGGGGCGGAGGCCGGGGCGGAGGCGCAGGCGGCGGCGGCGGCGCCCCCCGCTCCCCCGCAGGGGGCCCCCGCGGCCCCGTGGGAGGGGCCGCGGGGGCGGCGGCCGCCGCGCGCGGCCCCCGCGCACGAGGCGCAGGCGGCGAAGCCGCACGGGCGCGCCCGCGCGGCGGGGGGGCCGGAGGCCGGCGCGGCCGAGCAGCCGAGGCGCGGGCCCCCGGCGACGAGGGGGCCGGGCGGCGGCGGCGCGAAGGCGCCCGCCCCGGCGGCTCCCGCGGGGCGGGGCGCGGAGAGCCCCCCCGCCGCGGCGGCGCCGCCGGCGGGCCTCCCCTCGGCGAGAGGCGGGGGCGCGGCGGCGCCCATGGGCTCCGAGGCACTGCCGGCCAGCTGTGTGCGGGCCGACCTCGCGCCGGGTCATCCATGGAGGAACAACCTCAGAGCGTGCATTACCTACCCCGCTTTCGCTTCCAGGCAAAACCAAGTCATACCACGCGCCTTCTCGTCCAGCGGCCTGACCAGTACAGGCCGCAGTTTGGCACCGCTTGGTATCCCTTGGAAGCGAGGGTGGTCAAAAGCGAGGTAGGTTTGTTTGCCCCCTACAACCACCAATCAGTGGCGAAGCGTCCTGGCTCGCCTATAGCCCCACCAAACCATGTTCTGAGAGCCTTATGTGGTTCCCACCAAATGTTCTTCGAACATTTCTGGCTGGGACTGTTTTGTTTTAACACATCGGGTTTATGTTCTAAGACCATTGCTTTTGTTCTTAGAACATTTTTGAGTTCTAAGAACATTTCGTGGTATGACTATAGGAATGCTCGGACGGTCGGTCCCTGCTCAATCCATGGAGGAACAGCCACCCCGACCCCCCAGCAGTTGGCGTTTTCACCAAACGGCCCTGGGCGCTGGCTGCGCAGCCCTGCCCTGCTCGAGCCCTTCCGTGGGCTCGTTTGCGGAACGGCGTCGCCTATATCAGGGTGTTTACTGTCAGCCACGCGCAGGAGGGGGGCAGGAGGAGGGAGGAGGAGGAGGGAGGATGAGGAGGGACGGGGATCAGGAGGAGGAGGAGGAGGTGGAGGAGGAGGAGGGAGGAGGGAGGAGGAGGGAGGAGGAAGAGGCAGGAGGAGGGCGGGAGGCTTCTTAGAAGCGCCCCTGCTTCTTACAGGGCGCGGGCCTTGTCTGCAGGTGCAGGGCCGGCGCCTTCTGAGAAGGGGCCTCCTTCAAAGAAGCCTTCCCTCCTCACCCTGCCCCCCCCTGCGCGCCGCCAAGGAAGGAAGGCCGGCGGAAGCCGGCGGATTTGTAAGACTGTTCCCTAAAGAGATGGCCAGGTGTTTCGGTTCAAGGTGTTTTTGGCACCCGCGTTGTGTTGTTTGTCTGGGCTTCGCGCGCCAGATGCAGTTCCCGTCAGATGCAGAAGCCTTCCCCCTCCCCCCGCTGCCCCCTTCCCAGACTCCCGACGTCGTGGCTTTTTCACAGCGTCGACTCCCCAGAGGTCTGGACCCTTTCCCCAGGACATTTTTTTTCGTCCTGAGTCGTTTTTGGACGGTCTCGAGGCCCGGAAAGGGCCCCGGGAGGCCCAAAATGGCGCAACAAAAACCTCCCGCCGTGTTTTTTGTGTTCGCAGAGCGAGGAGGTCGGATTTTCTGCGCGCCACCAATCTTATGAAGGTGGAAGGGCTGCTCTCCAGGTCAGGGATCATGATTCTGGGCGGTTTGGGCCGATACTCCTGCAGAACAAGACCCCCCTTATCCCCGATGTCCCTGGCCCTCCTGACAGAGGTTCCCTCCCAAAGGGTTAGGGGTGTTCTTCTTTCGGGGGAGCGTAAGACCCGGGTTTGCCAGGACTCAGGTTCGCCATCGTTTTTTGACGACCGCGCCTCGGATTTTGACGAGGAGGAGTTTCGTGGGATGTCTGCAGCGGGAGGCCTCGTCAGAATGCAGGCTCGGCCTCGTCATTTTTTTGACGACCCCGTCGGGGATTTCCGAGTCCCCTGTACCCAGGTCTTACGTCCCCTTGATTCTTTGGTCAAATATCCCCGATGTCCCTGGCCCTCCTGACAGAGGTTCCCTCCCAAAGGGTTAGGGGTGTTCTTCTCTGGTAAATCAAATAACGTGAGGGTGGATGCTCTAGGAGGAGGAGGAGCAGGAGCAGGAGGAGGAGGAGGAGGAGGAGGAGGGGGAGGGGGAGGAATAGGAGGAGGAGGAGGAGGAGGAGGAGGAGGAGGAGGAGGAGGAGGAGGAGGAGGACGAGGAGGACGAGGAGGACGAGGAGGAGCAGCTCCCCAGGTCAGGCGCTCGACAGCCGCGACCCAGTCCCGCGGCCACCCGCCGCCGCCGCGCCGCCCGCCCCTGCGGCGGGCCAGGCG